GTCGCCGCCGCCGCCGTCATCTCCGCCTCCGCCTCCGCCGTTATTGCCGATGTTGACAATGGCGTCGCCGCCGTTATCACCGCCGTCGGGGTTGCGGTTTCCTAATGGAGGAGCGTTTCTACCGCCTAGCACTTGACCGTCATGGCTGTTTTGGGGATGAGAATAAATTCAAGAGCAATAATCAACCCAACGGACAGAACAAAAGCAACACAGTTCGTAATAACTACTCTCATATCCGGGGTTCTTGTCCCCGTCCACGTGCCCATCATAATAGCGGTGGAACAGACGAAAAAGGAGTACAGCGCATTATCCTGAGCGTTTTCAGACTTTCACCCTAAACAAAATGCAACATTATTAGGGATAAAACTAAAATTAAAACGAAAAAAAATTAAAAGAAAAACTTGTTTGTTACCGCCTCTGTTGTTACCGCTGTTATCGCCGTTGTTACCGCCTCTGTCGCCTCTGTCGTCGCCGCCGCCGTCATCTCTGCCTCCGCCTCCGCCGTTATTGCCGATGTTGACAATGGCGTCGCCGCCGTTATCACCGCCGTCGGGGTTGCGGTTTCCTAATGGAGGAGCGTTTCTACTACCTAGCACTTGACCGTCATGGCTGTTTTGGGGATGAGAATAAATTCAAGAGCAATAATCAACCCAACGGACAGAACAAAAGCAACACAGTTCGTAATAACTACTCTCATATCCGGGGTTCTTGTCCCCGTCCACGTGCCCATCATTAGAGTATTTGTAGTTTTTCTCTTTATTTTCTTAAAACCCCGCCCATTTAGTGGCTAAATGAGTTGAGGGAGTTAAGATAGTCATTTGTGTTCTTCTTTTGTTTTTTAAGAGAGCATTTGTAGTTTTTCTCTTTATTTTCTTAAAGAGTATTTTGTTGTATTTTCTTTTTTATTTAGTTGTTGTGCTTTTCTATTAATACAATGCTTTTTAGTTATGCATTAATGTTAGCTCTGATCCTGAGAGAGTGGTTTAAAATCTACACTACTTGTAAAAGAGGACGTGACTTTTGATTGTTTATTCTTCCCCTTTCAAGTTTCATAATTCCTAATTTATAAAAAATAATAAGTCTGCCGCGACTATAATGAACTTAATTGGACCAAAGTATTAAGCTTTCATTATAGTGATTACTACATTAACCTTTGGTTTTAGGTCAGAATTAATGTTGTTTATTGCAGCAGTTGGACTGATGACCCTTCGGCTTAGGAATATCGGCTCAATAATGAGAGTGACGTTTGGGATGCATATATATATATATATCGAAACTGGACGCGGTCCCTTGGGCTGTCTTTTTGTCTATGCGGAGCCCAGAGCCTTAGACTGTCGCTGAGGCACAGAGCAACAGTCTGCGCACGTTCGACAGAGCTGAGCAGGGCAGTCACTGTATCAGGCGCTAGAGACAAACATTTTTTTCATTTCTGTTTTTATTTTCTCTCTTCTTTCGTTTCTGCAAAGAACAGAGGGTGGTCGGTAGAGAGGTCTCTTTTCTTTCGTTTCTGCAGAGGGTGGTTGATACGGAGTTCTCTTTTCTTTCGTTTTTGCAGAGAACAAAGATTTCTTAAACCACCTATAAAATAGCTCCCCTTGTCTCATCTGTCCTTGTCCTCTAGCTCTACCAACCGCCTCTCTCTCCGCCCTCTGTTCTTTGCGAAAGAAAAAGAGACCTCTCCCGCTCGATCAGCTCTGTCCATCGCAGACTGTCGCTCTGCGGTTCTCAGTCAAAGGTTGTGACGAGCCGCGTATTTTGTCCGGTAGGTCATTCTAGTGCTAGCTGCCCAGCTATTATAAAATGGCCACCAAGGTCGCTGTTTACTGTAGCATACATCCCCTAGCCCCTAGAGTTCTCCCCTAATCCAAAGGACAACATGAGCCAACGCCTCTCTGATCTCCGAGCCCAACCTAGGAGCCCTTCAGATCTCCTAGTCCAACCTAGGACCCCCTCAAGTCGACAGAGGCGACAGAGACGGTAACAACGGCGATAACAGCGGTAACAACAGAGGCGGTAACAAACAAGTTTTTCTTTTAATTTTTTTCGTTTTAATTTTAGTTTTTTCCCTAATAATGTTGCATTCTGTTTAGGGTGAAAGTCTGAAAACGCTCAGGATAATGCGCTGTACTCCTTTTTCGTCTGTTCCACCGCTATTATGATGGGCACGTGGACGGGGACAAGAACCCCGGATATGAGAGTAGTTATTACGAACTGTGTTGCTTTTGTTCTGTCCGTTGGGTTGATTATTGCTCTTGAATTTATTCTCATCCCCAAAACAGCCATGACGGTCAAGTGCTAGGTAGTAGAAACGCTCCTCCATTAGGAAACCGCAACCCCGACGGCGGTGATAACGGCGGCGACGCCATTGTCAACATCGGCAATAATGACGGAGGCGGAGGCGGAGATGACGGCGGCGGCGGCGACAGAGGCGACAGAGGCGGTAACAACGGCGGTAACAGCGGCAACAACAGAGGCGGTAACAAACAAGTTATTCTTTTAATTTTTTTTCGTTTTAATTTTAGTTTTTTCCCTAATAATGTTGCATTCTGTTTAGGGTGAAAGTCTGAAAACACTCAGGATAATGCGCTGACTCCTTTTTTCGTCTGTTCCACCGCTATTATGATGAGCACGTGGACAGGGACAAGAACCCCGAATATGAGAGTAGTTATTATGAACTGTGTTGCTTTTGTTCTGTCCGTTGGGTTGATTATTGCTCTTGAATTTATTCTCATCCCCAAAACAGCCATGACGGTCAAGTGTTAGGCGATAGAAACGCTCCTCCATTAGGAAACCGCAACCCCGACGGCGGTGATAACGGCGGCGACGCCATTGTCAACATCGGCAATAATGACGGAGGCGGAGGCGGAGATGACGGCGGCGGCGGCGACAGAGGCGACAGAGGCGGTAACAACGGCGGTAACAGCGGCAACAACAGAGGCGGTAACAAACTGTGTTGCTTTTGTTCTATCCGTTGGGTTGATTATTGCTCTTGAATTGCATTCTGTTTAGGGTGAAAGTCTGAAAACGCTCAGGATAATGCGCTGTACTCCTTTTTCGTCTGTTCCACCGCTATTATGATGGGCACGTGGACGGGGACAAGAACTCCGGATATGAGAATAGTTATTACGAACTGTGTTGCTTTTGTTCTGTCCGTTGGGTTGATTATTGCTCTTGAATTTATTCCCATCCCCAAAACAGCCATGACGGTCAAGTGCTAGGCGGTAGAAACGCTCCTCCATTAGGAAACCGCAACCCCGACGGCGGTGATAACGGCGGCGACGCCATTGTCAACATCGGCAATAACGGCGGAGGCGGAGGCGGAGATGACGGTTTTTCGTCTGTTCCACCGCTATTATGATGGGCACGTGGACGGGGACAAGACCCCCGAATATGAGAGTAGTTATTACGAACTGTGTTGTTTTTGTTCTGTCCGTTAGGTTAATTATTGCTCTTGAATTTATTCCCATCCCCAAGACAGCCGTGACGGTCCTGACCCTGCTCCCGAATGCACACCGCTATTATGATGGGCACGTGGACGGGGACAAGAACCCCGGATATGAGAGTAGTTATTACGAACTGTTTTGCTTTTGTTCTGTCCGTTGGGTTGATTATTGCTCTTAAATTTATTCTCATCCCCAAAACAGCCATGACGGTCAAGTGCTAGGCGGTAGAAACGCTCCTCCATTAGGAAACCGCAACCCCAATGGCGGCGATAACAGCGGCGACGCCATTGTCAACATCGGCAATAACGGCGGAGGCGGAGGCAGAGATGACGGCGGCGGCGACGACAGAGGCGACAGAGGCGGTAACAACGGCGATAACAGCGGTAACAACAGAGGCGGTAACAAACAAGTTTTTCTTTTAATTTTTTTTCGTTTTAATTTTAGTTTTTTCCCTAATAATGTTGCATTTTGTTTAGGGTGAAAGTCTGAAAACGCTCAGGATAATGCGTTGTACTCCTTTTTCGTCTGTTCCACCGCTATTATGATGGGCACGTGGACGGGGACAAGAACCCCGGATATGAGAGTAGTTATTATGAACTGTGTTGCTTTTGTTCTGTCTGTTGGGTTGATTATTGCTCTTGAATTTATTCCCATCCCCAAAACAGCCATGACGATCAAGTGTTAGGCGGTAGAAACGCTCCTCCATTAGGAAACCGCAACCCCGACGGCGGAGATAACGGCGGCGACGCCATTGTCAACATCAGCAATAACAGGCGGAGATGACGGCGGCGGCGGCGATAGAGGCGACAGAGGCGGTAACAACGGTGGTAACAGCGGCAACAACAGAGGCGGTAACAAACAAGTTATTCTTTTAATTTTTTTTCGTTTTAATTTTAGTTTTTTCCCTAATAATGTTGCATTCTGTTTAGGGTGAAAGTCTGAAAACGCTCAGGATAATGCGCTGTACTCCTTTTTCGACTGTTCCACCGCTATTATGATGGGCACGTGGACGGGGACAAGAACCCCGGATATGAGAGTAGTAATTACGAACTGTGTTGCTTTTGTTCTGTTCGTTGGGTTGATTATTGCTCTTGAATTTATTCTCATCCCCAAAACAGCCATGACGGTCAAGTGCTAGGCGGTAGAAACGCTCCTCCATTAGGAAACCCATGAGCCAACGCCTCTCTGATCTCCGAGCCCAACCTAGGAGCCCTTCAGATCTCCTAGTCCAACCTAGGACCCCCTCAAGTCGACAGAGGCGACAGAGACGGTAACAACGGCGATAACAGCGGTAACAACAGAGGCGGTAACAAACAAGTTTTTCTTTTAATTTTTTTCGTTTTAATTTTATTTTTTTCCCTACTAATGTTGCATTTTGTTTAGGGTGAAAGTCTGAAAACGCTCAGGATAATGCGCTGTACTCCTTTTTCGTCTGTTCCACCGCTATTATGATGGGCACGTGGACGGGGACAAGAACCCCGGATATGAGAGTAGTTATTACGAACTGTGTTGCTTTTGTTCTGTCCGTTGGGTTGATTATTGCTCTTGAATTTATTCTCATCCCCAAAACAGCCATGACGGTCAAGTGCTAGGCGGTAGAAACGCTCCTCCATTAGGAAACCGCAACCCCGGCGGCGGCGATAACAGCGGCGACGCCATTGTCAACATCGGCAATAACGGCGGAGGCGGAGGCGGAGATGACGGCGGCGGCGACGACAGAGGCGGTAACAACGGTGGTAACAGCGGCAACAACAGAGACGGTAACAAACAAGTTTTTCTTTTAATTTTTTTTGTTTTAATTTTAGTTTTTTCCCTAATAATGTTGCATTTTGTTTAGGGTGAAAGTCCGAAAACGCTCAGGATAATGCGCTATACTCCTTTTTTCGTCTGTTCCACCGCTATTATGATGGGCACGTGGACGGGGACAAGACCCCCGAATATGAGAGTAGTTATTACGAACTGTGTTGTTTTTGTTCTGTCCGTTAGGTTAATTATTGCTCTTGAATTTATTCCCATCCCCAAGACAGCCGTGACGGTCCTGACCCTGCTCCCGAATGCAGCGATTGTTGATCTCGGCATAATCTTCACCATTGTCGAGGCAAACCTAGCTAAGCATAATGCTACCCCTCCCGCTTCCGCCCCCTCCCACGCTCCTGTTTTCTCACCCCGCCCATTTAGTGACTAAATAAGTTGAGAGAGTTAAGATAGTTATCTGTGTTCTTCTTTTGTTTTTTAAGAGAGTATTTAGTTTTTCTCTTTATTTTCTTAAAACCCCACCTACAAATACTCTCTTAAAAAACAAAAGAAGAACACAAATAACTATCTTAACTCCCTCAACTCATTTAGTCACTAAATGGGCGGGGTGGGAAAACAGGAGCGTGGGAGGGGGCGGAAGCGGGAGGGGTAGCATTATGCTTAGCTAGGTTTGCCTCGACAATGGTGAAGATTATGCCGAGATCAACAATCGCTGCATTCGGGAGCAGGGTCAGGACCGTCACGGCTGTCTTGGGGATGGGAATAAATTCAAGAGCAATAATCAACCTAACGGACAGAACAAAAGCAACACAGTTCGTAATAACTACTCTCATATCCGGGGTTCTTGTCCCCGTCCACGTGCCCATCATAATAGCGGTGGAACAGACGAAAAAAGGAGTATAGCGCATTATCCTGAGCGTTTTCGGACTTTCACCCTAAACAAAATGCAACATTATTAGGGAAAAAACTAAAATTAAAACAAAAAAAATTAAAAGAAAAACTTGTTTGTTACCGCCTCTGTTGTTGCCGCTGTTACTGCCGTTGTTACCGCCTCAGTCGCCGCCGCCGCCGTCATCTCCGCCTCCGCCTCCGCCGTTATTGCCGATGTTGACAATGGCGTCGCCGCCGTTATCACCGCCGTCGGGGTTGCGGTTTCCTAATGGAGGAGCGTTTCTACCGCCTAGCACTTGACCGTCATGGCTGTTTTGGGGATGAGAATAAATTCAAGAGCAATAATCAACCCAACGGACAGAACAAAAGCAACACAGTTCGTAATAACTACTCTCATATCCGGGGTTCTTGTCCCCGTCCACGTGCCCATCATAATAGCGGTGGAACAGACGAAAAAGGAGTACAGCGCATTATCCTGAGCGTTTTCAGACTTTCACCCTAAACAAAATGCAACATTAGTAGGGAAAAAAATAAAATTAAAACGAAAAAAATTAAAAGAAAAACTTGTTTGTTACCGCCTCTGTTGTTGCCGCTGTTACTGCCGTTGTTCAATGCGGCGATAACAGCGGCGACCCATTTCAAACATCGGCAATAACGGCCCGAGGGCGGAGGGCAAGATGACCGGCGGTGGTGGGCGGGCGACGACAGTATGTTCTTTGACATGATGCTATGGGTTAAAACGGCGGATAAACACGCGGTAACAACACGAGCGGTAACCAAAACAAGTTTTTCTCTTACACTTTTTTTCGTTTGTATTTAGTTTTTCTGCGGGGCCCTCGAGAGAAGTGCCCGGGCGGTGGACTCTTGTTGTTTTAGGGTGAAAGTCTGAAAACGCTGCGCAGCGGATAGAGAGTGCGTGGCTACTCCTTTTTGCCGGCGGCTTCCGCGGTCGTTCGCACCGGGCGGCGGGAAGGTGATGAGGCGCGGGGTGGACGGGGACGCGAAAGCCCGGGGGAGTAGATTGAGCAGTGTATACCCGCCGTATGGTACGCGCACGAGCGCGTCGGCTTTGGCGTGGCGGGCCCCGGCTCGCTCGTGCGTGTCTGTGCGGCGGGGTACTGTCGCGGCCTGCCAGGGTTATGGTGGCGCGCACGGGACGCCCAAAACAGCCACTGGAGGAGTCGGAGGAGTGTTGAGGCCGGCGGCGGGGGGCGGCCCCGGGGGCGCCGTCGGAGAAAGGGCGCGTCCGTTGCGAAGTCGCAGCGCACGAGCGCCGCCAGACGCGCCCCGCGCACCCCGTGCGACGCCCGGATCCGCGACGCGAACCGGGCGGGGGGGGGCGACGCCATGTCAGAGACAGTCGGGGGGAGCGAGGATCAACCGATGGAGGCGGAGGGCAGAGCATGTGCGACCGGCGTGGCCGCGGCTCTTAGAGCGGAGAGAGGCGGAGGAGCGGCGTCGCTCGTTGAGAGTCAAGAAAAAAAAATAAAAAATATAGAAAATATATATATAATAAGAAAAAAAAGAGAAGCAAAAAATAAGATGAAAAATGAAAAGAAAAAAGAGAACTAAAAAAAAAAAAACATAAGAAAAAAAAAAAAATAAAAGAAAAAGCGATAAGGGATAAACAGCAGAACACGGTTTTTAGCCGCTCTCCCAAGAATTGCGGAACGCGCGTTGGCTGGGTGGCGTAGACAGCACATGTGGGTCGGGCAACGCAACGCAGCGACGCCGGCTGCTCGGGGTCGGAGAAGATGAGCGGCGCCAAGCTGACGTGGGTGGATCACAAATCGAACTCGAAGGTCGCGGAATCTCCCTGGGTAGAACAAAAACAACGTGATTCCCGCTGTTGCTAATTTTTATTCGTTGATGAGCAGTTAGTCTTTGCTTTCGGGGCTGAGAGGAAGTGGCCGTCGCCGAGTTTTGCCTGTGTGTGGTACGGGCTGGAAGAGGTCAATGGCATATATGTAGCATCATGTGATCAAATGCTGCGGCGGGCTTAGTTACTCTCTTTCTGCGCGTGGTCGGGCATGCTGGCTCAGTATATTGTATGGGGCAACTTTGCGACGGCGAGACACGAGGTAACCAATCTCGAGGATCAGACGTGAGCAAGATAGTTTAGTCAATTCACGCAAAGGTAGGGTGGTTTAGCTCGCCTCGATTCGTTTTCTGTTCGGTAATGTGAGGAGATGTAATGCTCATTCTCGGTATGTGAAATTTGTATTGGCCAGTGCAACACAACTACAAGCGCGATTATGGGATGTTCCGACGGGTCAAATCGTTGCCAATAGCTAAATGGCGAGAGCAGGTCGTGTAGATATAGACAGCGGCGTGCCTCATAACCATCACGGAAAGACGCAAACACCCGCTGGCTTGGCGTGCGCTTGTGCCGCGGATATAAATACTCGCTTAGCCGACGCCTATTGGCCAATGTCGGCGACGTGCAACTGAACGGCGGACGGGACCGGACAATGGAACGGTATTGGCGGAATATGAATAAAACTCCAAGGCCGGCGGCGAGCTGATGGCATTTATTTTGACAGAATTCCCCTTAGGAATATTACAATAATATTAGGAATAACCGAACCCTCGAACGGACAGAGTGTAAGGTATCGAGACACAGCACCCGCGGGTAACGAGAGTATAAAGAAGCCCTGTTGCACCACTCACAACAGTAGGTCAATGAACTGATAGATCAAACACCAAGTTTGTCACTCGTTGAATTCTCTCTCGTTTATATAGTTCAATTTATTTTTTTCACTGCTTAACCAATGTGCAAGTCTATGATTCCATAGTTAAAGAGTGAAATCTGAAAACGTTCCAAGAATAATGACG